AAAACAAAGCATATCGAGGTGGACATTCATTTTGTTAGAGAAAGAGTGGCTAAAAAGCTGTTACAGGTTCAATTTGTTCCTTCTACAGAACAATATGCGAATATATTAACAAAAAGATTATCTGCACCTCTCTACCAAACTCACTGTCACAATCTCAATCTTGGATTTCTCATCACTGAGCTTGAGAGGGGATGTTGAGGATAGTAATCCAATGACTATAGAGTGTGCCACTTGTCAAATATCAGCTGAGTTAGTTAGGGAACGTTGTTAGTCATTCTAACTTGCTATGTAAGAAATGAATATATTGCAGCTGTATAAAAGCATGCTTGTACTGTCATAACATTTTAATGAAAATACAATCTTCTTAGCTAAATCTATCTCTCTATCTCTTCTTTCTTCTCTCTATAGCAACTGTATAAAAGCATGCTTGTACTATCATAACATTTTAATGAAAATACACAACGGTTTATAGGTATGAGATTGTGGTGCTTAAAAAAAACAACTTATTAAAAAATTTAGAACATTAAATGTGTTTGGTAAAAAAGAAAAACTGTCAATGACGGTAGAGAAGCAAAAACATGATCTACCAGAGTGCATTTTTGCTCACCACCATTTAGTGTGGTGTATGCTCACCATCCTATTTATCACCGTTAGATAAGTTTGAATTTTGAGATTTGTGTTTATCCATTACACAAATCTTGAAATTCAAACTTATCTAACGGTGATAAATAGGGATGATGAGCAAAAGTGCTTCCGATCTACCATGTTTCTACAAAAAGTGTTTTTTTTTCTTTTTCCAAAACATAGTAATTAGTGCTCATTTAATGAAACTTTCAAATGACAAGTATACCCCCATGTATTTCACAAAATTACAATCTTTGCCCCTACATTATTGTCTTTGACAATTATTAGGTTACATTAAGGCATCATTTGACAGCTCGGATTGTATTGACTATTTCAGTCAAATATGATAAATAGTAATCGGATAGTACTGACTAAATTAATCGGAAATTTGGTGCTTTATCGGATAAATCTATGCACCGGATAATGGATAATACAGGACTACAATAAATTTCTAAAAAAAATTCACCGAATAATTGATGTTAAAATGGAAAAAATGAAGAAAACCAAAGAAAAACAAAGAATTACTCCTCATTGCACCGACAAAATTAAAAAACAAAACATAAAAATGGAAGGAAAGAAACCCAGGTTCCTCTCACAGTCGTGTTATCCTTTCTTCATCATCTTTCCCGCGCATCAATCTCACCCACTTCCTCATTTCTTCAATTAATCTCCCAAAACCCACATGGATTCACCAACCAAAATAATTAAATTGAAGATACAAATTGATGAAGAAATGAAATCAATTTCTAAGAAATAGATTGACCAACCAATTTCATAAGAGACGGAACAGAGAGCAAACAGGGAGATCAGAGAAAGGGAGTGGAGAAAAAGGACGAATAAGAGCGAAGTATAGCAGATGGAATTCGAGAGGACGAAGAAGAACGAAGAACAGCAGATGGAGTTCGTTATGGATAGAGGAGAGAACGGGGAAGGCACAGATCCATTTGAGAGCGAAGAGACAACGCGATTAAATTTTCCTTGGCTTTTGAGTTTTGAACCCGCTAAATTGAACAAGACTTGGCTTTTGAGTTTTGGACATGTGTTCATCCAAAATTGTGTGTAACTAGATGTGGCTGCTGAATTGTTTAGCAACCAAGTTAATTCCCGCTAAATTAGCCTTGGCTTTTGGAGGGTATTATTTAAGAAAAATTAATGAAAATGATTTGAAAATTTTAAGTTTTAATGATAAGGACAAAATAAAGTGTAAAGTAAATAGTACTAGAATTAACTTTTTAGTGTAAAAATGTGATTTTTCGTTAAATTGAACAGTACCGTGAGCTTTTCATTAAAACTCCCTATTATTAGCAGGGGTGAACCGGACTAAAAAGTGGGCCCATGATATTTAATTGGCCGACTATTTAATTCAAAACTACACCAAATACATGTCTCGCACTATTATTCCTATTTGTCTAATACGGCGTACTAAACAAGACTTAAATGACATATAATTTTTAGTTATTTAATATATTTAAAGCAATTTACATAAAATTTTACCAAACACTCAGACATTACCTTTTTTTTTAATTAAAAGTACTTTTACAAAAAAAAAAAAAAAAAAAAAAGTCCAAACACTAAACAACTTTATTTTACAACTGTTTATTCTCACAATACAACAATTTTTTTTCTTTTTTTTTAACACAGAAATACCAAACTAGTCCTAAAATACTTCACTCCAAATATATGCTATAGGTTTTAGCGTTTCTTGATAAGACTAGTCGTCTTAAAAAAAAAACCTTAAAAAACTAGTAGTTATGGACTTGAAAGTAATATCATCGAGGAAAGTAACTTATTTGCAACTATATAATATTTATCTTTGTATGTATTTCTAATCACTTGTGCGGATAATTTGTTTTGTTTTTCAAAATGGCCATAGATGCAATTAATGTCAATAACATTTCTTTCTATTTTTAATATCTTTTTGGCAAACTTAGAGATGTTAAAGCATAAGATACTTCACTCATATATATGCCAAAAATTAGGGTTTCTTGATCAAAGTATTGTCTAAATAAACGAGTTTATTTTTAAAGGAATCATCTTTGAGAAGAAGAGAACTTGGAAAACCATGTTTTTTTGGAAGACATCAAAGGATTAAACTAGGGTTGATACGTCATTCCATATGAGAAGAACATAATTTACGTATAACCGCTATAATATCTTTTGTTGTGTACATCCAAGTCTCACGTATTACAAAATTACATTATGTTGATAGTATATTACATGATGAGATATTCACAAAGAGAAATATATACTGAACTCACTAAAGTTGAAATGTTAGCTAAGATCTTTTAATCTACATATTTATTTACTCTCGAAATATAGCAATGACAAAGATTGACGAGCTAACACAAACAAGCACATATATAGTGTGCAATAATAATGTTAACTAGTACTGAGATTCAAGAATATAGAAAGAGAATCTTGTAGAAGAAGGAGAGAGAAACTAACTTCTTTGATATATTTCTTAATGACCAAGTAATACAAGCTTAGGCTATTTATACACACATGCATGAGTGAACTAACTGAACCTCTAATCTTCGTACACTTGGCTCAATCCTATACATCAATTACTACACTCTATCTAATAATACCAGACATTATGTAAATTTATGCGATGTGGTAAAAGCTTAAGTCCTAGATAAAATGCGATCGTCATTTCGAAGTGACAAGGGAAAGTCATGTTTGAACATTCTTAATGCCAATACCAACCATTAAAAAGGTTAAGGTCCCCTATATAACGTGCTGACCACAGTAGTAGGCGGAGCAGTTGATCCAAAAGCCAAACAACCTTGTACCTGAACACCGAAGTAGGGAAAATATAAATCCATATCCCACACAAACCATTGACCAAAAAGAATCCCACACAAATGAACAAAGCCAAAGTAAAGACAGTGTAATATTAATAAACGCATACATGAAGTGTTAATTATCACACTCTTTAAATAATATATTTACAAGTATTATAATCGAAATCTTTGTTTTCTTAGAACCTATGTAAACTTATAAGTATAGAACAATTCAATTATGTTAGTATCAATCAACTTTTTAATGACGAACAATTTATTTGTTAATACATAAATGATTGCATTTGAAATAAGTTAATTACATCTTAATGGACAAAAAAGTACACTCATGAATTAAGTCGATGCAAGTATATTGTGCCTAAAATATTTACTTGTGAGATTAAATTGTATAACACATAACCCAAGTTTTGATTAAACATTCGACCAAAGAAAAAGAAAAGGTTTTGATTAAACAAGTCTAATTTGTACTCGAGAAGGAAAATGAGAGATTTCGTGTAAGAAACATTGGGACCGGTACATCTGGTTTTTAGATTCATCCAATGTCAATGGGGCAGCTTAACCTTTGAGCTGTCCTCATTCATTCACCTACAAAATCTATGAATTTTTAACTGTTTCTAAAGAGAGAAATTTCCAAGTTTCCAAAACTTGGAGAAGTTTTACGTTCCATAAGTGACAAGTTATAACAACCCAACACCAACCCTCGTGTCCTAGCTAGTTTTTAAACCCCTCCATGCGACCCAAATTTCAAACTCATACGCTTTTGGGAGTTTAAGATCACTCAGACAAGTCATTTTTTTCATTCAGGACTAAAACAAACAGATGGTGAACCTAGTGGCACTTCAGCAACCCTTGCTGCATGGCCTTATGAAAATGGCTGGGGTCCGACCCTACGCGGTCGAGATCGAACCGTGCACGGTTATGAATTTCTGGGTCCCGAACGAGACCCTCAACAAACCCAAGAAGGGGGAAAAACCCGCTATGGTGTCGGGCCCAACGAAGCCCGTGGTGGTTCTCATCCATGGGTTCGCCGCCGAGGGGATAGTGACGTGGCAGTTCCAGGTTGGTGCTTTGACCAAAAGATACTCCGTCTATGTCCCCGACCTCCTCTTCTTCGGCGGCTCCTCCACCGACAACCCCGACCGGTCGCCGACTTTCCAAGCGGAGTGTGTGGCCGCGGGGTTGAGGAAGCTCGGGGTGGAGAGGTGTGCGGTGGTTGGGTTTAGTTACGGCGGGATGGTGGCGTTTAAGTTGGCCGAGCTGTACCCGGACCTGGTGGAGTCCATGGTAGTGTCCGGGTCGATCTTGGCCATGACTTGCTCAGTCAGCGACGCAACGATGGAGAGGCTCGGGTTTTCGTCGTCGTCGGAGCTTCTACTGCCAAGCTCCGTGAAGGGGCTCAAGGCTCTGCTGTCTGTTGCTGCTCACAAGAAGCTGTATTTTCCTGATCGGCTTCACAAGGACTTCCTTGAGGTATTGAATTTTTACTTCTCGTTTAAAAAAAAAAAAAAAAAAACTACTAAAAAATGAATAAAAACTCATACTTAAATTTTTTTAAAATTATTCGTTGTTAATTTATAAAATTTCGTGTTTATAATCAGAACTGTTCATATTATAAATCACCCTATAAAGATCGCATCTACAAAAAATTAATTAAAACTAAGGTCGTTTAATCATCAAATTATTTAAAAACAAATGAAAGGTATTAGTAAAAGCATTATGAACCGTCTATGTATTTGCTATAATAGATTGACTAAACTAGTTTAGTTTTAATTTATTTTTTACAAAGATGATCTTTAAAGTGTGATTCATAATATGAACTATTCTGATCATAAGCACAAATCTTTGTAATTAAAATATTAAGAATTTTGAATAAGAATTCGTACTTATTTTTCAGTAACCAAGTATTGTTCTTTAAAAAATAGTTATCGTCTCGATGCGATCTTCAGATTTAAGGTTTTATCAAGAGTAGTTGAAATATTTAAAACTTCATAAATAAATAGGAGGTGAGACAAATTAAAGGTTATAACTGACAGTGGAATGGATAACCATGCAACTAACGTTTTATCAAGAGTAGTTGAAATATTTAAAACTTCATAAATAAATAGGAGGTGAGACAAATTAAAGGTTATAACTGATAGTGGAATGGATAACCATGCAACTAGAAGAATGCGGATTTGCATCCTCTCTTGAGCAAAAGAGACGGAGCCTCCTGATCCAAATACACAGATCGTTAGAATTTAATTTAACGGTTATAATTATTATAACTTTTAAAAGAATCTTACGTTTGTAGCCGTTGGATCAAAATCTAACGATCCGTATATTTTGGTCAGGAGGATTCGTCTCTCTTACTTAGGAGGGGATCCAAATCCGTAGAATGCAAACTTTTTCTTCCATGCAACCATGCACCATTAAAGATTTGTTTTTTCTTCAAATTTAATATGTGTTTGGACCCACTTTTTCGTCATCTGCTCATGTGTTGTAGGCCATTGGATAGAGTAGCTGTTAAAATAATTTTTAGTTATTATTTAATAGATAAGTTGTGATTTTTAATGATAATTATCTATTAAAAGTTTATAGGAATTATTTTGACATTTTTCTGGGGAAAATATATGGGATAAAAACAATTTAAGGGCATGGAATAGATGGGAAGTTATGACATCATAAGTCAAGGAGCGGTACAAAAAACACTCAACTCATTGGCTTGAACGATGACTAATCTGATAGGTTGTATTCTATGTTGAAAGTTAGGCTTTATCCTATGATGGAAGAATCCCTGGTTGTCAGACCAAAAGATAAGGTAGTGATTATGCCACTTAGATCATCTTCAATTCTTGTGTCTTAAATTTTAGTTTGTAATGATTAAATAATGATTTTAGCTTAATTTTTTGTTTTTGGTAACTTTTTTTTTTAAATAAAATTTATGTAGATTATCTTAATTTATTTTTATGAACATTTTAATTTAAAAATATTTAAATTTCGATAAATAATAAAAAATCATACAAATATATAGGTATTTATAAAGTTTTAAGTTAAATTTGATTTAAATAATTTTCCTAAATTATTTTAGACATTAGATTTAATTTTGGGCCGTCAAATATATATATATATATATATATTAACTATTAGATTTAATCTCATTTGATCATAGCCATTAGATTATAAGTAAAAAACAAAAAAAATGTTTGAACTATGATAGTTTGGTGGGTCCAGAATAATTTAAGCCAGACTTAAATCCTGAGGGAAATCTAGCCCAGAGATATATTTTCTCCCCATAGCTTATTTTAGCACATGGTTGGAGATGGTTTGGGGGAGGTTTTAAAGTTTATATTTTCAGCTTTATCCCATGGGTTGGAAGTGGTCTTAGTACTATGATTTAGTGGTATTCCTCTTCACTTGTAAGTAAGAAGTCTTAGGTTTGGTTCTCGCCAAAGATGAATTTGAATCACATTATTGCTAGCTTATTGTGTGGCTAAGCCCATGCTCTTTCTCCTTACTGCAGATAATGTCGATTGGTTGAACTTACGAGATCATGATCATGATCTCTAAGTAGGGTTACAAAATGATTGGTTAACATTCAAGTCACCTTAGCAGAGAATCAGGGATTGAGTCAACATATCAAGATAATATTTCACGAGTTAGGATTGCAACTGGACTCTATACAATGATCAAGCCGTCAAGTAACGTGGTACTTTTTAAATACAAGCTCGTTTGTAATGTAGAAGGACCTTTAACTCAACACATAAATCAATGCTTTGCGCAAACTCTCTCATTCTTTTTTTAGAAAACCACTAATTGTTTACTAACTATCAGCACGAATATAGTCTGGCTAGGCAAATTTGGGTTGAAGGACAACATACGAGTATTGCCTAGTTAGACTGAAATTTTCCACAAGCAGCTATCAAGGGTGACAATCTGGTTAGACAGCGCTGGAGTTGTATAATCAATTCGGCAAAGGAGTCTCAACTGCTTGGTTAAATGACGAGTTTCTCAAGTTAGACCGGTTAACGGTCTTAAGTCGCTACCGACGAAGAGTATTTCATTGTCTCACCGAGCAAAGGTCACGTCATAAGCTTTCTCGGCGAAATGAAGTGTTTTATGATTGGATATTCTCAAGTCATGTGCAGAGACACTCATTTCCTTTGAGTATCTTTGTCTCTATAGTTTGGTACCAATTTCGCGGACCTATATTCTTGCCAATATTGTCAAGGCTGTTGAACCCAATGCAAAAGTCCAGAACTTCATAGTGATTTGCATAACCTTGTCTCCAGATTATAGAACTCAAGGCCGAGAGTGTTTCTTCTTCGAAATAAGTCTCTCGATTTAGAAGTCATAAGCATTTCACCTCCTCTATTGCATTCAAGACATTCGCCCGACCGAGCTCGGTGGTAAGTTAGCACGTCCACATCAGCAATCAACCACCAAAGGACGTAGTTAGCTCCTTAGTTACTTCGACATGCATGCCACGTATGCTGTGTAATTTTCAAGGTCAACATTTTGGTACGCTCGATTAGATCAAGTGCTAAAAATTACGAAGTTCAGATGATGTTTCAGTATCCCAATTCAACTTCAATCGACTGGACGAGATTCAACCTCAACTAGAGAAACACATTCAAAAAAATGAGGAACATTAAAAGGCAAAAGAGGTGAAAAAGATTATTGATGCACATGAAGGGATGAGAAAATCCTTCTCCCACATGTTAAAAGTAAAAGCCCATATCAACTTCCAAGAGTAATGGGTAAAAAAAGATAGAGCCTATTTTATAATGGCTAGATGAGGACCACTTTCCTTTTGTTCTTGGATACAATTACAAGCGTTGTTCTAAAAATTCCCGCTTAAGCACTAGGTGGTAGGCGGTAGGTGGTTGGTCAATACCCCGATTATTCCCTAAGCGTTTGAAAATTAGGAAATGGCACTTAAACCTACTTAAGTGGCCGCCTAGCCCGTCCAGACCGGCCTAGGTCGTGACTCTTACTTAGACAAAAAATAGAAACTTTCATTTTGCATTTCTTTATCAATAAATTGTAAGAGACTTGTTAAATACTTAAATGAACACACATTATATGCTTGTTCCTCATGTTTTTATTAGTTCTAATACTTTATAATTTATATGTCATTCTAGTTTGAGTTTATGTATCCAATGAAATTATGTATTTTTTAAGTATAAGTAAATACTTATTTATACGATATACAAAAAATTACTTAAATTTGCCTAGGCCCCCACCTAGCCGTCTAGGCGCTAAGCCCCAACCTGCCACCCGACTAGCACCCAACGTCTTTTAGAATCTTGGATACAAGTCAATTTCATTTTAAGTACGGTTAGTTCGAAAGGCTGAGGGTGCGGGAATACTCACTCCGGCCCCAATCAAGCATCGTCCTATGAGGATTGTCTATTTAGCCGAAGAAGAAGTTAGGGCACCTAAACGTTTGGTTGAGTCTAAGAAGTTGGTCAGCCTAGAAGAAAAGGTTCAAGTTTATGATCCAAACATAAAAATTAATTAAGAAGATGATTTGTCAGAACAATGTTTCATTGACAAACAAGACCGAATGGCAAAGTGATTATGCTCAGGGCAACTCGATTATTTGCTCGCCGAAAAACAAAAATGTTCGAGAAAATTTCTCTACGCAAGGAAAAGATCCGTCCTGGAATCAAACATCGCTAACCTCCTTCCCTTATGGTTATGCATTTCTTTTAATTTTTGCACAAAAAAATAAAAATAATGGCAAGCATAGTCAACGCAAAGGATTGTTCATATTTGTTTAGAAGCATCGGCAACTAAAGTGGGTGGAGAATTTGAAAAGTGGTGTGGCTGCGTACGTGTTGTAGTAGAAGGATGATACCTCGTGGAGATGGTATTTGTTGAGCATATATAATATTTTCTTAACAGTTGAATCAGTTTCTATGTTCAGATATGCTACGGTGCCGAATTAAAATTAGCATGCCTCACTTTTTCGTCAGAAGTTCATCAGAGGTGCTACATATATGATATATAATACATTATAATATATATATATATATATATATATATATGAATGTTGATTATCCAGGTGGTTTGTGTGTGTGTGTGTGTGTGTGTGTGTGTGTATGTGAATGTTGATTATCCAAGTGGTTTGTAACACATTAGGAAGAAAATATCATCAATAACACTATGCGGTTTAGGAAGCAAATTCTTTGAACCATTTGCTGAAATATTTTGGTACATCCAAATTTATAGGTGATGTTCACCCACAGGAAGGAAAGGGCAGAACTCCTTGAAGCTTTAGTCATTGATACCAAGGACCCAACCATCCCCAAATTCCCACAGGTTATTTTGGCCAATTTTAGTTTGTTTATGTATTAATTCTTAATTAAATCTTTCTCTTTGATTAATTTTATTCCAATTATTCTATTAATTTTTATGTCTCTTTCATATGTTTGCAGAGAATACATCTGTTATGGGGTGAAAATGATCAGATATTCAACCAGGAGCTTGCCCACAACATGAAAGTGTAGGTTTAATGACATTGACAATAATATTTATCTGCTAATTAATTAAAATTAACTTATTGGAGAAAAATTATTTTTATTGACGCATGTTAAACTTATGCCAAAAAATGAATTATTTATTGACGTAAACCGTATTTCCTATTGATTTGGTAAAGTGTTTATTTATATGCAGGCAATTAGGAGAAAATGCAACATTTGAAGGCATAAAGAAGGCAGGCCACTTGGTTCATTTGGAACGGCCCTGTGTTTACAACAGGTGTCTCAAGCGATTTCTTGCTTCCCTGCAGCACGAAGAAGATGGAGCCCCAAAAAAGGGACAGTGATATCTCACTCCTACTTGCTTCCCTGCAGCATGAAGAAGATGGAGCCCAGAAAAGAGAGAGTGATTTCTCACTCCTACTATATATTTTTATTAGTTTATGTACTATTTTCTGCATGAATCAATTCACTGCTTATTGTTACAAGTAATGTGGAAGACTATCTTCGTGTTGAGTTCTGCCATCTGGTTAAACTTAATGATACAATTTGAATATATTTTCTTATGTGCCACTTCATACTTGCCACTAGAATTAGTTGATTAGGTGAAATATATATATATATATATATATATATATATATATATATATATCCATTTAAGGGAACTTTCACTTGAGAAGTTTGTCTGCCATTTTTTTGGTTTGGTAATCATTTCGTTATTAGTTCAATATTAACATGTAAGAAAAATACATGGAAAAAAAAAACCTTTCAAGAGGATTTACCGATAGGGCATTTTCTGTCACTAAAGTATTGGGATATTGCCCTCCATTTATAAAGAAAAGTATAATGTTCGACTCGCACTAATGATTAAGTTAATTATCAATTAGGCCTTAGTAATCCATTACTGTTTTATAGGTGAACATCCAGTTCCCAAGCTAGGTCCAAGCTCAATATTTTTTTTTTAGTACAACGATATATTTCACATTAAGAGAATGAGAAATTCAGCTAAGCCACACAATGGACAAATTCACCATCCACGAGATTCGAACCTCAAACCTCTCACTTACAATTGAAGAGGAATACCACTAAACCGTAGTACAAAATGACATCCAAACTCAATATTATATCAACAATATCTATGAAATATCAGTAACATATCAACAACAACCACTTGATATAGAATTTGACACATATTGTAGTCTCATCAACTGGATTAATCCAACAGTCATACACCTTTCCTCCGTGCAAACCCCACTCATTGTACTAGGGGTGGGCACACCCAGATAACCCAGGTCCCAGAACCTTGATTCTCTCCTTTTCGACAACACCACCTCCGTCGCGACCACCATCACCTTATCACCACCATTGAGGACACTGCTACCAGCCTAGATTCTTTTACTTGGCCGACTACCGTAAGTCTTCTTCTCCGAAAATTGAACTATTATCGGTTTATTTAGGCTGTATGTCGAGTGAAGACGGCTACTCAGTTGAGGAATATGCTCTAATTAGGGTTTTTGTGCTTTTCTGCAAGCTTAGAACTCGTTTGGATGTGCTTTTAAAATGACTGAAATCACTTTTAGAGAAAATGTTTTTGGTTCCAAAAGCACTTTAAGTACTTTTCCATAATTAACTTACATTTTTACTAAGGATTGGTTCAAAAAACATTTTCACCAAAAGCGTTTTCAGTCATTTTAAAAGCACATCCAAACGAGCTCTTAGTTAGTTTGTTGCTGTGTTGGTTTGGTTTTCTGGATTTGAAATTTTGAATTTCTTTCTTTGGTTAATTTTGTTGAGTAAATATTTTGGCTTTGCAATTTCTATTGTTTGGGATTTTGTTATTTTACTTTAATCTTGGTATTTGGAAGTGTTGAATGAAAGTGGAAATGCATAGGTGCCTCAAATTTCTGTATTATTCTTTTGAAATTAGGATTCTTATATTCTTTTTCGATGCATGTGGAAATGGGAGTTCGATGTGATGCTTCATTTTTTCACAATTAGATTGGGAAAACTGTAAAATCTGCACATGGCATTGGTAGTGAATATGTGCAAATTTTAGGTTTTTTTTTTTCCCACAAAAAAAAAAAAAACCAAAGGACCCGTAAACCCGGCCCGAACCGACCCGTTTTAACCAGGCCAAGTTAGGTCCAGTTCCTATATTAAAAAATATTGTCCCTAGCCTAACCCGGTCCAACCCGTCTCTTTTAAACCTGGATCCGGTCTGGCTCGTGCCCAGCCCTACACTGTACAACTTTCAAAATTCCTAACCCACTCCATAATAGCAGGCCTAGACCGGGTCAAAGCTTATTGGACAGAAAAGCCCAATATATCAAATGGACCAGGGGCCCTACACTTACCCGCCAACATGCGGTTACGAAACACAGGTTTTTGCTAAACTCGTTTCTTAGAACAGCTGCGCAGAGCGTCACCGATTCACCGGCACCGCCATCATCGCCGCCGCAATTGCTAAGCGATCGAAACCTCAAATACAAACGCAAGTTTCCCAAAACCCCTCCATCTCCTCCAAAATCCCATTCCGGCCCCGCAAAATCATAAAAATCTCCAAGACCCCCACCGCCAAGCCCTCTCCCTCCTCCTCCTCATCCCCCGCGCTCCCCAAATCCTAATCTCACTAACCTCCCAATCCGAAATCAACCTCGCCCTTCAACACTTACTGAGCTCCGACCCGCTTTTAACGGCCCTGATCGGCTCTATACCCCGCCGTCCTTCGATCCCAACCGTCCACCATTCATATCCCTCGCAAGAAGCATTATTTACCAGCAGCTCGCCACCAAATCCGCTCAATCGATCTACACGCGGTTCGTTTCGCTCTGCGGCGGCGAGGCCTCGGTGGTCACCGACGTCGTTTTGTCGCTCTCGGCCCAGAAGCTCCGGACAATCGGCGTCTCGGACCGAAAAGCTTCGTATAGAAGTACAGCGATGGGACTTTGTCCGATTCGTCGATTCACGAAATGGACGATGAGGCTCTACTCACAATGCTGACTCTGGTGAAGGGAATTGGGGTTTGGTCGGTCCACATGTTCTTGATGTTCTCGCTTCGCCCGGCGGACGTGCTGCCGGTCGGCGATCTCGGCGTGAGGAAAGGAGTGAAGTTGTTGTATGGGTTGAAGGAGTTGCCGAAACCGTTGGAGATGGAGGAGCTGTGTGAGAAATGGAAACCTTATAGGTCTGTTGGGTCTTGGTACATGTGGAGGTACATGGAGGCCAAGGGGGTCCTGTAGCAGCAATTGAGGAGGCTTTGCTCATATGGTTTTCAAATTCCGGGTAATCGCCCTTTTCCTCTGAAGTTGGTAATCTATTGCATTCTTATTGAATCACTTTGTAGTTTGTGTATATTTGTTGTAGGATTGAATTTCTGTTCTAGTTCACTGGTTTCTTGGACTGAAAGTCTGAAACTTGAAATCATGTTGCTCTGTAATCTATTGGTTGTGTAATGAAAGGTGATGTTTCAGTATTTGCTTGTGAAAGATTGAGATGGAAGATTTAGTTCTCTTTGGAAGTTGTCCAAATGTAGCATCACTTGGAGGTGTGATGTCATGTTTGATAATTGAATGACGAGTGACGACTGATGATTTGATTGGGATTTATTAGCATCATAAATGAAACACCACTTGTAGATTATGTCTATGTTTATGCTGCCGTGCCGATCTCAAGTTCTCATGCTACCATCTCAATCATATGGCCAACAAGGGGATCTTCAGTTCCTTGATCTGTTATGTTGATATAAATGTTCCTTTCTTTCTTTCTTTCTGGACTTGAGCTCTTGAGTCTTGAGATAGACCCCAATTATTTAGATTCTGTGTTGTGTGTAGCGCGCTTAATAGTTTTGAGTTGTTTACATTATTCATTGTGTAACTAAACTTTCTTTGGGTTTGAGCTATATACCTGCTGGTATCTTAGCTTCTAACCAAGATTTTAGTATAAGAGTTACTAGTTAGCTAGCACGTTTTGGTCTCAAGAGTAAACGGATGTGGGAGGTGAAATAACCCTTAGTTATGCTCAGAGATGGTGTTCTCCAATAAAAAGGTATTCCGTACCATGTATATGTTTTATGTGTTCTCATGTACATGCAATTTTGAATGATACCGAACAAACTAGATATTCAGTTTAGATTACTTATGAAAATTTGCTAGTACTTGAAGCGTTGGTGACCTAGTCTATACAGTATAAACTTATTCAGTTAAGATACGTAGTCACTGTATGTTAACTTCATCCTTTTGCTGCAGTAGCATGCTTGGTTAAGGTGAATAAAGGACTCTGTCGATCTTTTGTATTCAATTGGTAAATTAAGCTTTGTTTGAAGTTGTTTCTTGCACTGTCCATTTCCCATAAAGGACTCCGTAGCTTGCCTTTGATGGTTGATAGTGCTCTTAATCTTTTTGTATTGAGTATTGAATTGACTAGGATCAAGTGTATTTGAGTGCCACTACACAGACAGCTAACCAAATCAAACGAATTACTGTCTGGTTGTTTCAGCCCAAGATTTGTAGTGTCAAAGCCGAATCAAATCGCTCCAACTAGTTTGGTTTGCCCTGCTTCTTGAGTACCTACAGGTACTTAGTGTCGTTACATATTTGGACTAGTGGATTTGATCCAACAGTTTGCAGTTGCTCAATTTTAGCCGTTGGATCAAATCTAAACGGTCAAATGTGTGTTAGCACTGAGTGCCTGTAGGTCCTCTACCACAGTCCAAACTAACTACTAAGATATTGTCATTGAACGTATATGTATAATATAAGAAAACGTGATATTGCAGAATGCTTTTCATAATAATGCCGAAGGCTAGGGTTACAATATATATACGAAAGACACAACCCTAATCCTAAACTAATGCCTAGAAACAAGGAAGTCAAACCTTATCAGGTAAGTAAAGGCTAAGTACAGATTTACAAGATTCACTATACTAATCCAAGATATCTTCTTTAACACTCCCCCTCAAGTTGGAGTGTATGTTAATAACACCCAACTTGCTGAGCAATGTTTCAAACTGTGTAGAATTCAACGGTTTGGTGAAGATGTCTGCTGGTTGCTCACTTGTTCGTATGTATGCCGTACGAATCATTCCTTCTTGAATCTTCTCTCTTACCAAATGACAATCAATCTCTATGTGCTTTGTCCTTTCATGAAATATCGGGTTTGAAGCAATGTATATGGCTGCTTGGTTATCACAGAATAACATGACTGGTTGTGAATGACTCACCTTTAAATCTCTCAAAATGTTCTTTAACCACGTGATCTCACAACATGTGGCTGCCATGGAACGGTACTCGGCTTCAGCACTGGAACGAGAGACAGTAGTTTGCTTCTTTGTTTTCCAGGATATCGGTGCTTGACCCAGTTGAATGTAATAACCTGTTATTGATCTTCTTGTGTCCTTGCACCTGGCCCAATCAGCGTCACAGAATGCACTTAACTGCAAGGATCCCTTGGATGGCAGCAATATACCTTGTCCCGGTGAACTCTTGATGTATCTGAGAACTTTGTGTGCTGCCTCAAGGTGTGGTTGTCTAGGCTTGTCCATAAACTGGCTTAACATGTGCACAGCATAAGCTAAGTCCGGCCTGGTTATGGTTAGGTAGATCAACCTACCCACAAGTCTTCTATATGATGAAGCATCAATAAGAAGTTCTCCTTCCATCTGTGTAAGAGAAACATTTGATTCTACAGGAAACCGTGAAGGTTTGGCACCCAAAAATCCCGCATCATCTAAGATATCCAATGCATATTTGCGTTGACATAAGGTGATGCCATTTGTAGATCGTGCAACCTCTAACCCCAAGAAATACTTGAGTTGTCCCAAATCCTTTAATTTGAATTGTTGTGAAAGGGACTGCTTCGTGGCTTCAATTTCTTGTAGATTATTTCCTGCTAAAATTACATCATCAACATATACCAATAAAGCAATGAAGTTACCGTGCTGACTTCGGACGAACAATGAATAGTCAGAACACGATTGATGAAATCCAGCAGCCTTGAGGGCAGTGGAAAGTTTAATGAACCATTGTCTTGAGGCTTGTTTTAAACCATATAAGGATTTGTGTAGCTTGCAAACACGAGTCTCCCCCTTTCGTCCAAAGCCAGGAGGTAAATTCATGTACACTTCCTCATCCAGATCGCCATGCAAGAAGGCGTTGTTGACATCGAGTTGATGTAAATGCCAATGACGCACAGCAGCAACACTAAGGAGTACACGGACAGTGGTTAACTTGGCAACTGGAGCAAAGGTTTCACGATAGTCGACCCCTTCGATTTGACTATAGCCCTTGGCAACCAACCGAGCTTTGTAACGCTCGATGGTCCCATCAGGTTTAAGCTTAACCTTGTACACCCATTTGCAGCCAATCGGCTTTTTGTGAGGAGGAAGTGGAACAAGGGACCAAGTATGGTTTTCCTGAAGAGCAGCAAGTTCGTGGTGCATGGCATCACGTCATTGTGGATGTTGGACAGCCTGCAGGAAGGTGGTGGGTTCTCGAATGGTGGTGACGTTAGTAACAAAATGCTTATGCATAGGGGAGAGGCGATTGTAAGATAAGTAATGAGACAGAGGGTGAGCAGTACCTGATACCTGAACCATATTCGAGGAAGGAGCAAGTCGGGACGGGAGAGAGGTCTCAACATGGAAATCCTGCAAGAAAGAAGATGGTTTGGTAGGACGTGTGCCACGCCGGGGTGGCGGTGGTGCAGCAGGAGAGGAAGACGGAGGGGATGGGGGTGGAGAAAGTAAGGAAGGGGAAGTAGGCTCAACAGGGAGAGCGATGTCAGGGGGGGAAGCGATGGGAGGTTCTATGGGAAATATAGGGACTGGATCAAAGGATGGCGAGTAGGGTGCTACGGGAAGGGAAGGAGGAGTGGGAGGGGAAGCAGCGGAAGGGTGGGGTAAGTTGTAGGGAAAATGGTCTTCGAAAAAGAGGACATCCCGTGACACAAAAAACTTGTTAAGTGTAAGGTCAAACAAGCGGTAACCCTTCTGGCCATAAGGATACCCAACAAAAATGCACCGTCGTGCACGGGGATCAAATTTAGAGGGTTTTTGTGCATGGGTGGATGCAAAACATAAGCATCCAAAGACACGTAAATGCATGTAATGAGGTGCCTTGTGAAACAACTTGTGGTATGGTGTTTGCCCTTGGAGAAGTGGTGTGGGTGTACGATTGATAAGATAGGCCGAAGTGAGAATAGCATCCCCCCAAAAATGTTTAGGAAGGTTGGCTTGAAAAAGGAGGGCTCGAGCAACATTTAACAGGTGACGGTGTTTGCGTTCAGCAACACCATTTTGTTGTGGTGTGTTGACACAACTGGTTTGATGCAGGATCCCTTTGAGTTGATAAAAGGTGACAAGTTTGAACTCGGGACCGTTATCACTTCGAATCACCTTAACTGTTGTATTGAATTGATTCTCAACCATGTGTATAAATTGAACAAGAATATCTTGTGTGTCAGATTTTTGTTTCATCAAATAAACCCAGGTGCACCGTGTGTAATCATCAACAATGGTAAGAAAATATTTGGCACCTGAGAGGGAAGGAACTTGATAACCCCCCCAAATGTCAATATGTATTAATTCAAAACATGAACGAGTAGATATAGAACTCAAGGGAAAAGACAATCTGGTTTGTTTAGCCAATGGGCAAATTAAACATGTATTGGAATCACATGACTTATTGTGCATAAAGGGAAGTAACGAGGACACTTTAGGTGATGGATGCCCAAGGCGTTGGTGCCAAAAAGGAGAACTCATAGTGGTGGTGGTGTTGCAGGATCCCTTCCTTGGTGGGTCGAGATGGTAGAGTCCCTCCCGTTCAATTCCCGTCCCAATCATCTTCCCCGAACGTAGGTCCTGTATGACACAAGATTGTTTGAGAAAAATGGTGATGTAAAGGGAATCGTAAGCTAACTTGCTAATAGATATGAGGTTTAGCCTAAACAATGGTACGCATAAAACATTGTCAAGGATAAAGTTGGGAGAGAAAACCACTTGGCCGACATGGGTTACATTAGCAAGGGAACCATTTGGTAATTCAACATTATGATTTTCAACACGTTTTGAGGACGTGAGAAACTCAGGACTGCATACGATGTGGTCGGTGGCCCCACTGTCCAAAATCCAAATAACTTGCCTTCCATTACGCATGAAAGAAAAAGCTTTACCTGAGAGTTCTTCATGATTCGAAGAGTTACCCACTTGATTAGCAAATGAGGATTTGCTTTTGTTCAAAAGCTGAAGAATCTGCTTGCAGTCCTCTGGAGAAAAAGGAAAATTGGGCATTGCATCCTTCTTGTCACGACCCGTGACTTGGTTGCCCTTGAAAGGGCGATTTTGTTCAGTCTCAGCCGCTGCTTTTCTTTTGCGGCAAGAGTCAAAAGTGTGTCCTTTCCAACCGCAAAACGTGCACTTGAGATGAGCACGACAATTCTTGGTGCTATGATTGGTCTTGTTGCATTTGGCGCATCGCT